GGGGTCTAGTTTTAGTACAGGTTTTACGGCGCTCGCAACAGCATTAGGTCATATGAGCGCCAAGGGTTTGATGTCAACAGAGAAGTCCAAACGGGGAATCAGACTTACTCTGTTCACCTCTCTAGCTTCAACAGCACAAGGTCGGCTTCGACTATCAAGGCATCCCGGAAATAGTGGGTCACAAGATTATGACAAACATACGAAAGAAGTAGAGAAAAAATGACGATAGTAAGGATTAGGAAAGAAACAGCAGCAGTTCCCTGTTGCAGTTCAGGCACAGTTATCAGCATGACATTGATGAATCAGCCCATTTACAATTACAATTCTACAGTGCATGAGAATTCGAGATGTTAATGTCCACCCCCCCCCCCCTTGGGAATGGCCTAAAGACACTTCCGTCAGTAGCACCGCCCTGGGTGGTCTTTTCAGTCTAAATGTAAGTATTTTTACAGCCCTTACGACACAATTTTGATCATTTAAGAGGCGGACTGGAAAGCTGAAGACCGGAAGGAGTGGAGGAAGCTGATGGCCAAATCTTCCAAAGCGTCTCGACGGACATCCAGTCTACGGGGATAGGTGAAGGAAGGTGAAGGAAGGTGAAGGAAGGTGAAGGAAGGTGAAGGAAGGTGAAGGAAGGTGAAGGAAGGTGAAGGAAGGTGAAGGAAGGTGAAGGAGGCCGGCTTTTAACCCTGCCTGTCAAGGCCAACCCGGGATGAAAAGGGTACACCATTCCAGCAGAAAGTCTGAGATACAATGTACTCGACAAAAATGTCTCGAACTCGGGTCTCCAGCGTGTGACAGCGAAGCGCCTAACCTCTACAGAACAAACTCCGGGGAGCTTGGCTTATTAGTGGCGTCTGTGGCCTAGTGGTTAGGCTCTCGGACTCGCAACTGTAAGGTCGTGGATTCGAATCATGTCAGGGACCTGACGTTGTGTCCTTGGGAAAGGCACTTTACACGAGTTTTCCTCACTTCACCCAGGTGGGAATGGGTACCTAGCTATAGACAGTGAAAGATCTTGTCAGTTTGTTAGTGTTTGAGCGCTCAATCAGCTGGTTGCACTGTATGCTTCCCGGGAAGCTGAGAATGTTTCTGAGTGTTCTATGGTCTGCTGGGGTAATAATATAGTGTAAAGCGCATAGAGCCTGTTGTTGAGCGGGGTTATGCGCTATACAAATGCTATCTATTATTATTATTAATACTTATGAGATGAAACCTAGTGCACATACTTTGAAAGTTAAAAAAATGACACCCTCATTTTCTTTTAATAAAGCGTGTTTGGGTGTACAGTTTTACTTTTTCTTGTTCTGCGTACCCCTGATGGAGGTCAGGGGATAACTTTGTGTAACAGCATTAAGAAAAAAGACCGACTTTGGCGGGGATCAAATTTCAGGCTCCTGGTTGACGGTAGAGCAGGACATACCTGATGAGCTACTGAAGCCAACATCTGGGCAATAAAGATTCATCTTATCTTATCTTAGCATAGTTTATCTTGTCTTATCTTATCTTAACTTATATTATCTTATTTTAACGTATCTTATCTTATCTTTTATCTATCTTGTCTTATCGTATCTTATCTTATCTTATCTGATCTTATCTTATCTTATCTTATCTTACAATTAACGTAATGTATTATCGTCCATTGAACGAATCAACAGCCTCAGCTCTTTTATCTCACAGAGATCACTGGAGCAACTGAAGAAAGCCATCAAAGGTTTTGTGGTCATGAGTGAAGAACTGGAGATGATATACATCGCCTTTCTCAACAATCAGGTGCCCAGCTAATGTGTATGTGTGTGTGTGTGTGTGTGTGCGCGCGCGCGCGTGTGTGTGTGTGTGTGTGTGTGCGGGTGTGTGTGTGTGTGTGTGTGTGGGTGGGCGGGTGGATGAGTGTGTGTGTGTGTGTGTGTGT